CTACAATTTGTTATTTATATTTTTCTTATTAGCTCTCATGGACTTAGCCTGGTCTCAGGTGTTTATAATATTCATGTTTTGTGACATTGGTTCGTCCAGTGATTGAGGCTAGATCTTTCTAAGGAACCCAACTGAATAGGTGTTTTCCTTCACCTGAGGACGGAAACAGATCCAGTTTCCGAAACGTCGTGTTTTTATTTGTTATTTTAAAAACCAGGACGATGGATAAAGTCCAAAATCCCAACATATCAGTGTGTTATACACCATCGTCAGAATCCTATAGTAACTACTTATTTATTTAGTGTTTGTAATAATTTTATGTGGATATAGAAAGTGTTGTATTACTATAAAAAGAGATGGTTTACGATCTATTATTCGTGTAAAGTGACGTTAAATTTGACCTCGAGATATAACAGTAAAATGATAGGACTGGAAAGGAATACGTGATAAATTATGGAAAGTTAATGGTATAATACGAAAGCTTATATAATATATCATGAGGCTTCTCGTTGAATTCTAGGCGGATATTACATTAGTATCATATAAGACTGAATTCCAAATAAGTATAACAGACATCCCTTTACTAGAAAACGCCTATAGTCATGGCGATATTGATTGCTATTACTTTTAAACTGGCAAGACAACGTCTAGTAAGTAAGCATTGCATGCATTTTGTGTATGTTCATTAATTACTCGTAGTGTCGTGTGCTTGGCTTTCTTTACTTTTCACGTCGTCTGTATTATGTTATGCATAGAAAATTTTACGTACGGAATCGTAAGCAGTGTGAACAGCTTGGCACCAAAAATGGGAGGACCAGACATTACATACATTTGACTTGTTTCGGGAAACAGACTTTACTTGGTGTAAGGTACAAGTTACGAAGCTTCTCATTACGGTATCTTCTTCAGTCTCCTATTATTTTACCCCTCTTCTGTCCTCAGCACCCAATTTTCGAACATCTTCAGTCTATATTCGCACTTCTATATGTATAACACAAACTCCGTCGTAAATGCAACACTTTACTGTAGTTCTTGTCGCCCTTCTTTCACACTACATGTTTCAGCTGCAACCGGCCATCATCAGGTGTATTTTACTGCAGGTAGCTGTCACACTGCACTCAATATTAATATTTAAACTCCATATTTCCAATTGTTCGTTGCTCTGTCGTCAATCGGCACCCGATATTTCAGGGGTCCCCTTGTCGGTTTTGTGAATTATGTTTAAAATCTTTATTAATATTCATACGTCGATTGGTTTAAAATATTAAATTCTCAATTTAGCTTTAATATTTAAAATTTAATTTAGATTTAAGATCAAAATCACAATCACAGAGATACCTGCTCTATGCTTATATGTGCTGCAGCGGCTATCTCTTGCTTTCAGCACAGCTCGCGTGTTATTTTGTGCAGGTTCTCTGTGTGCGTGTCACTGCTTTTCTTCAATACGTTTGCTCACAACAATGAACAATTTTCAATCTGGAGTTTAAATATTAATATTGAGTGCAGTGTGACAGCTACGTGAAGTGAAATGCACCTGATGATGGCCGGTTGCGGCCGAAGCATGTAGTGTGAAAGAAGGGGGACAAGAAATACAATAAAGTGTTGCATTTACGACGGAATTTATATTATGCAAATAGAAGTGTGGAATGTAACAGGATGCTTAAATATAATATAGTAACCTATATTCGTACCTCAATGTCAGACCAAGTTTCACAGCCATGCAGAACTGCAGGAAAAAGCCATAAATTCGAATATTCTAAATTTACGTTTCTAGGTGGCACACGAGAATACAAAATATCCTTAACTGAATGGTAACGCATTTTCCGAATTTAAGCTGCTCTTAATTTCCTCATGTTTAAATGATCTGTTAGCTCTCGTTTTGTTACGGTTTAGCCCTATATTCTTGTAACGAAAGAGAAACATATAATTAGTTTTCTCTGTGTTTACTCCTAGACCAACCACCATACTAGCGATAATTAGAGTTTATGTGTTTTTATGGTATGTATGGTTATCTCCCAGTAGATATACATCATCAACATGGACCAGAAGCTGATGTGTCCCGTTCAGATTCATTCCTACATGGTGTTCTTAGACCTTCCTAGTGTCGTATTCTAAACCGTAGTTAAAAAGCAATGGGGGTAAAGCATCTCCTGTGATTCGCAAGGCTGAATTTATAAAGTAATTTCACAGGTAAATTTTCCCGGCATTAGAACGACGTTACCTTCCGAAACAGCCGTAATACTTTCTCGTATGTGTGCCTGTTCGCCCAGAGTTTGAAATGCTGGAGAACAGAGAATTATATGCAACGATTCCAGAAGCTGTACATTCTGTTCGCTCGCCATGTTGAATTTATTTGGCAGTGGCAAGCATGCCGATTGCAAGACTTCAATGTGATATGTCGTCTGCATGAACTGTATTTATGCACATAATTTCAGGTAAGAAAAAGTTAGTCTTGGCAAGCAATGTACATTTTATGTGGCATGTCATATTTTCCATACCTCTATCACTTTGAGTTTCAAATGTCAAGGTATGTTTTCTCCATTGTTTTAATTTAATTGAGATTTTTATAGGATAAACCAATCAGTGACAAAGATGCGTTACTTTAATTTAATTTAGCATGTTGATTTTTTACTGTTATGTCCCATCTGCAGATTGCTGAATGCAGATGACGTCCTGAAACCACGTGATATGACAAGAAATCACGTGTCTTCTACAGAATTCTCCGGCCGCTTTCATGATGGTGGCCAAATATACAGGTAAAAATAATATCATTGGTGCAGCAATGCAACTCATGAATCCTGGTTCGTTGTTACCAGGTTCTGTGTTGTGGTATTGTGGTGTGAAACTTTCGTGGTATCCTGTGTGAATCTCCAGGAAAAGGAACTTCGTACCAATAGGCTGGCAAACATTCACATGAAACATAAATACCTTAATAGTAAAACCACGAAGCAAGTTACCTCGAGGGTTCCATCTTACATTCTGAATGTGCCACGTTTTAATCTTGGCAAGAGGACCTGCTATCCTTACTGAGGTATTTCGTGATCTTCCTGAACCTCACAAGGCAAATGCCAGAATAATAATATTAATGCCAGCTTTGGCCGCGCCATAGCTCAAGCGGTTAGTGGCCGGCTTCACATCGCGGCGGCCCGCGTTCGATCCCGGGGTCTGGTCAAGTGGGATTTGTGGTGAACAAAGTGGCGCTGTGGCAGGTTTTCTCCGAGTACTTCGGTTTCCCCTGCCCATCTTCATTCCACCAATTGCTCCACAATCACCCTCACCTATCATCTGGGGCTGGTACAGTAGACCAGAAGTGGCGGCAGTACAAGGGACTTAGTCCCAACCCACTAGCAATAAAAAAAGTGCCAGCTTTCATTCACACTGTTTCCAATTTATCATTTATTATCATTCCGTTGTTCAGCGCTACTGTCCGAGTTCCCAGTAGCGTCACTAAATAAACAACACCATTGTGGTCCTTTAAGATTCTCTTACGAATCTTGTGATACCGTTGGTAGAAACTTAGAAAGACAAATGTCAAAGACAATTCATCTGCAAATATTTTATCATGAAAGTTCCCAGCTTTCACAATTATAATGTTCCTTCCCTTATTCAAATCGATTCAGTTTTCATCCCACCCTTTTAATTGCGAGTTTTATGCATTCTATAAAACACAGACTTAAAAAACTATTACTTCTACATTTAGTGATATATATTTTTATAATATGGGCACGCGGTAACGTAGTTGGTTGAGGCACTATGCTATAAGCCGGAAGTTAGCGGGTTCGAGTACCGATGAGGTGACCTAATCCTTCCAGTCGCACTATGGCCCTGGGGTCGACACAGCCTCTAACAGAAATGAGTACCAGAAATCTTCCTGCGGGGTAAAGGGCGGCCGGTGCGTAAGGCTGACAAATTTACCGCCATCTTTGAGCCGATTGTCTAGATAATGTGGCACCCTCAACGTCTCACAACCTTATGGGCCTTCACGGCCTGGTACAGGGATACCTTTACTTTTGTTATTTTTTTAATAGTGTTACTTCTTCAAATGCAACAGCAGTCACCACCGTAATGCAGTGGATTAGTAGTAACATTACAACCACTCTTTGTGTACAGTACTACCATTACCACTACTGCCATCAGAAGAGTTAGTGGGGGGTGGAGTCGAACCGGGTCAACTCGGCACGGCGGCCACTGATTGGCCTATTGTAGCTTGCCCCGGGTGATTATGATGATGGGGAATTTGGTAGAATGAAGATTGGCAGGGGAAACCGAAGTACTCGCGAAAAAACGCGCCATAGCGCCCCTTTGTCCACACAAATCCCACTTTACCAGACCCCGAGATCGAACCCGGGCCGCCGTGGTGAGAAGCCAGCTACTAACCGCATGAGCTATGGCGCGACCATCAGAAGAGTTACTAAACTGCGCCTAAAATACCTCTTAATTTCCATCATCACAATCAATTAGTAACTTAGAATTTTTCATTTTTAACACGCAATCTATGGCATAAAAATTTTCGTAGAAGATTTACTAAACTGTGCTTAAAATCTTTTCGAAGTCGTGTCGTCATCATTGGATAGTAGCACAAACTGTTTTGTTTTCATTATAAATTTATAAGAACCAATTTTCAGTATACATGGGACCAAAACACTGTACCGGCGATCTTACTGAACCAACAGTAATTGTGCCATAAGTTTGCCTACTTAGAATATGATGTGCCCTTAGGGATGTTTCAGGCAATATATTTTTGACTATATCTACAGATTATGTCAGAAGAAGAACAGTAGACTGAACATATGAAGATCAACTTAGTTTTGTCAGTATAAATTCAGCTTGTAACTTTTACAAAATATATAGGTTTTCTTCTTGGTTTGCTGTGTAACAACAGCTGTTTTTCTAGTATTAATATCGGAAGTTATCAATATATAGTAAACCTGGGTACTACTTGACTATTTAAGTCTAGGAAATGTAATTTCACAATGTATTACCATTTCTATATACTATTTTAATGTTATTCTTGTGGATCAGGAAGTATATTTAATTTATATAATGAATGATTCATTTGAGAAATATTGCTGTAGGAAAACATCTGAAGGATGTGTCTTCAGTAACCTTCAACATGTGAGGTACCCAGCATGTTAAATATTTGGCATGTGATAGCCATCAGTTTAATTTCTAAGTGATACTTCGGTGTGCATGTTGCTCAAGGAATGAATTACCAAAAATTCCATGTGGTCTGACAGTAAAGTTCGCGAACTCATCGCGGTAAAAGTGCTACATACCTCATTGCTGAATATCACTGTGGTCGCCTTCAAAACAATTTTGGAACTGGTTTTGTGGGATGATCTCCAGAGCTGCCGTCGTATTACTCTTGATATCATCAACGTCATCAAAATGCCTTCCTTTCAATATTTCCTTTATCTTCGGGAACAGAAAAAAGGCACTGGGGGCTAGATCCGGTGAATAGGGAGGGTGTTCCAGCACAGTTATTTGTTTATTAGCTAAAAACTCCCTCACAGACAGTGCTCTAATTCAGGCTCCATCATTCTCGCGACGGCACACCAAAACACGCTCAGACAGAAATAGTCGCCACTCAGAAACAGACTGCCATAGATCAACAACAACAACAACAACAACAACAACAACAACAACAACAACAACACAGCTGTGAAACGCTGATATGACAACGTCATCAAACTATACTGACGTTTCTGTCCAGTGCTGCCACGGCAAGCACACGGTGGCGAGTTCGCAAACTTTATTGTCAGACTACGTATGTGATACTGAATGAAGGACTACATCATTAAAACAAGTATGATACAACGTGCATACAGTATCTCCTGCAAGTTTGCTACGGGACATGGTACTCTGTACCATTACTAGTGCGGTAAGTGATAGTTATTTGTAAATGGAAACATATTTGCAAAATTCCATTATGTGTGATACAAAAGAAGTTCTGCCAAATTAATAATCTCAAAAAAGTAATGTGTTAGAACGTTCAAATTATCATATTATATGCCTTTAAATGTATATATATATATATTTAATAAAAGTGAAACGTGTAATAACTCTCATCAGAGAGAACACTGTCACATATTTTGTCTTTCAAATTGGAACTTCCTCTCCCACTTGGTACATGGCAGGTCGAGGAGCGTGGAATTTATTTTATGTTCAAAAAGAGCCACAATACACTTCAAGAACTGATACTGGAGAAAATACTGAAGGTTGAAAATTTTGGAACCAATGCTATGATCTTAATTCATGATATTAATAAAGAAAACATTGCTTATTTAAAAAGACCTAGAGAATGGCAATTGAGTCTTAATGCATATAGATAATTCTCTTGAAGTATACGTACATAACACGCGAAACTGATTATATTTACAAGCAACAAGATATTCTTAATATGCATAAATATTTCAACTTAAGTATGGGAATGTATTATTTTTGCTCCCCCTCCTACACAGTAGTGCCATATTTTTACAGAATTCTCCTATATTAGCGAATATGTGTTAGTGTATGTTTAAATATGTAGCTCACGTTCACAATTCTAACTTGTGTTTCAGGCCATGTAGGACAGAAATAGCAGAAATGGAGACAGTTCTGTGATCATGGCACTTCTGGCTACCTCTCAGAATTTATACAAACATGGAATAACAACAGTGACATCAAAAGGAAAGACATCTAGAAAATAAAGCCACAGACGTGTTTTTATGTAACCTGTCATGCAGAATGAGAAGCACAGGTTCCACTGCACCAGATGTGGAGAGATTGACGTGGAGGTTCAAGACCATTTAAACATACTTGTAGAAAATAAGTATGAAGACACGAAACACAGTTTCAAGTTCCAGAAAAGTGAAAAAAGAAATCTTGGTTTTGGGGGGGAGGGTGCAGGGCAACAATATTATTTATGGACAAGATGATCGTTGCCTGTTTCCTTCAAATTCGTCTAGACGACAAATAGCGTTAGACAACCTTGAACAAGGACACATATTAGCATGATCTGTATTTAACAACTGTGTGTAAAATAATGAGACATTTCATGGGATCCCGAAAGTGCTCAAGAAATCAAAATGGTGCTACCCACGACAAAAATTACTTAAAAATAAGAAATATTCCATATGAAAGCCAAAGAAAGCAACAGAAGAACTAGAGACATTCATCGTGTATTAAAATTATGACTCAAGGCTGTATAGGAAAGAGTGTCTAATTTATTGTCGTTATTTATTGTTGATGTTCTAATTGTTGATGTTTGGGCTCTCGTGCCATATATGTAGCTGTTCTGAGAAAGGCTGTCTAATATATAGGTTTATGTTGTTTATTTATGTATTTTATGCACAGATGCTAGCTTTTCACTGCAGGACCTCGGTTTCAATCCTAGGTAACTCCATGTGATATTCCAGGTGTACGAAATGGCACTGGAGCAGGTTTTCCTCTGAGTTTATTTAATTTTCCCCCACAAACGATCATTCCACCATTGCCCCATTCTTATCTTTCACTGCCCCCATAAGGTGTGTAATATCCCTGACCGGGCAGCAAGCACATTATCGTTTCCTTGGTCTTTAAGTTTGGAACTTCATCCCTGATCCAGCGCATGGTTGCAGGGTAAGGAAGTTGGGTTATAGTTTGTTCAAGTAACTGTGATAATCTTCAATATCAGGCTTATTGTACATAATTGGAGATCTGTAACTCAAACGGAGCAACTGATGGGACTTTCGGACTAGGTAGCCTTTTGTTCTTTCCTATGTCTCTGGTTGATATCTTCCAACCAGTCCAGAAGAGGTAGAAGATTACATCTATGTGTAATATTTCGAGTCAGTATCACGAAATTAAATTAAACTAATATAACCTCTCGGCCGCGCCATAGCTCAAGCGGTTAGGCGCTGGCTTCCCACCGCGGCGGCCCGGGTTCGGTCCCGGGTCTGGTCAAGTGGGATTTGTGGTGGACAAAGTGGCGCTGGAGCAGGTTTTCTCCGAGTACTTCGGTTTCCCCTGCCAATCTTCATTCCACCAATTGCTTCACAATCACCCTCACCTATCATCTGGGGCTGGTACAATAGGCCAGAAGTGGCCTCAGTACAAGGGAATTAGTCCCACCCCACTAGCAATAAAAAAATATCCTCTCAATTTTCATATAAGGAATTAAATTTTATGTTACTGTTCCTATTATTACAAAACTCTTTTGAGAAATGTCTTTACAGAATTGTGTAGCCTGGAAGAAGAGCCCGGTTATAACTTTGTATGTTGATTCTGTTACAAGATACGTAACATTAACTTCATCAAGTGTAGTCCTTCTTGGGTATGCTGAAGTCACTTAGATAAACAAGAAATTAACTGCTTGTATGGAATCTGGAAGTTCATTATTGTGTCCGAAAGTGCCCACCACTGGCTTTGCTTTGAGCCACATAAATCCAGTCTACATCCTCAAACATTTTTCTTTTAAGATAATATCCAACATTAACCCCACATTCCTTCAGAAAATTGTCTAGAATATTGTATTTATTTATCATTTCTCCCATGTATTTTTCATGTTGTTCTCATTTTATACTTCTCGATTTGATTACCATAATTTTCTACTGTCTTCAAAATCAAATTTATTTTGAAACTCTTCCGATGTTTCAGATGTGGATCATTGTTAAGACATTCGGACTAGACCGCGTGACATCTACATTCATGACACGAGATTTTTATTGTCCCCAACCCCATTATTGTGATATGATGATGCAGGCGGCTAGAATCTCCTTATCATAAAGCAAAATACCAGACATTAATTTTGCATGCTATTTATATTTACCCATCCAGTTCACATCTGTACGATATCTATAATATGACATTATCTTGTACAAAATTATGAAAGTTAAAGTAGGAATTGAAAAAAAAAATCAGCTTTTCGTATCTAAATGTTGAGAATTTTTAATAGTTCAGTTTTAAATTTCAGGTCATACTGGACCCTACAATAATTTACCGCATCTATACCTACTTATTAACATCGGCAGTTTAACTTCATCTTTATCCCAGCCCTATAACAAATGGGTTTCTAATAATTGAAAATTAATTTTTCTGATTCCTACAAAAATTTAGTACATATTTCATAACTCTCTGAAGCTGTATTCACAGAAATTACTTAAGATTGTTTTATTTATTATTCTGCAATTCATGAATATGCTTTATAACTTTTGAATATCTATAAACTATCTATATCATATTAACTCTCATAGTTTACAAACATCACAATGTCCTTATCTTTAGGTATCTTTCTATACTTGCCAAAGAGACCTAACCCATGATGCTGAAGAAGAATCAATATTTATTTTTCTCAAAATTCATCCAGCAATAANATATATATATATTGTGTTTACGTGTATCTAATTTAAAGTTTTCTTTGTTAAGCAATTATAACTTTCTTTCAGAATGGCATTTGTGTTTTTTTTGTGTATAATCTATATTAATTAAGTAAATATGTGATAATTCTTTAAAGAATTGTTGATTTATTACCTCCTTTTCCATTCACATATTGATATTTAAGGGAACATCAGAAGACAACCCTACAAAAGAACAATAAGAATTTAATTAAATTAATAATTCTGTAGGAAATTAAATGTTTTGTCCACATATTAATATGTAACGTTATTACATCTAGATGGTTTGGATACTTATTTATAAAGTAGAAAAATTGGTTTTGTGTGCATGTTGGACAGAACTTCCATAAAGAAAGGTGTGCTAAATACAAGTCCTTTATATCCAGCATGGAGCTCCCTTTTGCAAGTATGAATGAATTACTATAGCAGTACTATTTGTTATATAATATATGGATGGAAACAAACAATTTAATTATTACAGTGAGCTCTTCAGCGAAAATGTTGCTTTGGTGTAGGATCACATGTACAGAGGTTATTACTGTTTCCCTGTCTTCATCTGCTTTTCCTTCTCTTTCTCACTTCATCATTATGATGATAATTTCCCACAGTTACTTTTACAAGAGAAGGAATTATCTGTAACTGAGGGATACTGTGGAATGATAAATAATTTTATGCACAAATAAATGCTTTGCAAATGCTGTACACTTAAGAACTACAATAGTATCTGCATATAACAATTTATGATTTTTCAATATTTTTATGCAATTGACTAATATATTCTCTTTGCTGGTATTTTGCTTTCACAGTCAGGGGATGCTAAATTAATGTAATGTTTGCCTTCCATGTTTGTTTTTCTTTTTTTTGCTGGGTGACCACCCTCTCATATTTTTGTCTTTCAGAGCCTGCAATATATATGATAAAATTACGGTTTGATGAAATGTATACACCCACACAATGCCACTGTTGTCAAATTAGTCTTTAAATTATAAATAATAAAAGGTATATTTCTTGTTGGTATCATTACTATGTACTTATAAAATATAAATTACTGACATGATAATATTATCAATGTGAATGATCTCTCTAATAATTGTTATTCATAAAAACATGAAGAAACAAAAATATTAATATTTATGTAGTCAATAGTTAATTCAAGAGAAAACAGGCAAAATGACACATTAGCATTGTATATAATATTATACAACATAAGCGTGACTATTTGACATTATGAAATGATGATATTTATGTATGTAACAACATATATTTTTGGTGAGTATAAGATCAATTGTACAAAGAATCTCTAGAGAGTTTTATGTGCATTATTTCCCACTTTCATTAGAGGCCTACTGCAGTGAGTAATATTTTACGTTCTGCAAAACATTTATATTATTACTATCCTTAATATTCATATTCCTAGTGTATAATGCATACACTTTTTATAGTGACTAATATATCAAATCATGTTCAAAATATAATTTTTTCACTGACTATTAATTAAAATATTAACATGACTATTTATTAATATCTTCTGGCGATGTTAATATTAACTTCATACTTTCAGGTTACTACCATAACAATTAAAATATAATTTACAATAACAATAAAAGAAGGCTACATAGGCAGGTGCTTTTAGCGTATGGTGAAATTAATTTTATGTTGAATGTATAATATCTACATTGTGTTTGTGGTGATGAATGGTATTCGTTTTTGTTCTGTACTGATGATATTTCCTTTTGTTCTGTACTGATTATGGTGTAAATGTTAAAAGTAAACTGTTGTCTTCTTAGAGAAAACACTATAAATAAAAATAATGTGTAAATACATTTTAAAATTTTAGTAAATATTGTGAGATTATTTTAAAAATGATCTTGCAAATATTCCTAATATCTGTTAAACACAGGAAAGCACATGCACAATGAAAGGAAATTTGTAATGATAAAAATGAAACATTGGCGTAATAATAATTATGTGATTTAAACGTTGCTGCTAAATCCAAAGTAGAATTAAATATTTAGTATTCCTTACCTTAACATGTTTCTTTTTTCTTTCTGTAACCTATAAACTTTAAAAATAAGACTTAATTGAAAGAAACTTCTCATTTTACACACCAAGAAAAATGGCGTATACATAACATTGCTTACAAAATTTAAAAGTACACTAAGCAGAATTACGTGTCTTGATAAATGTGACGATAAACTCTGAAAATCACATTGTTATGGACTTAATTCTTCTCAGATTTTCTTTCTGTTTATAGGTGCGGAATTTTTTCGCTTTCATGTATAGTTATATTACTGTGGTGTATATAAGTGACGTGTTCAAGGTCGTGATGAAAATGTTGTCAGATAAAATTAAATTATTTCACAGGTGGCAAGCATGTAATTTTAAAGTATACTAGATATAATACTAATACGGGACCTTATTTCATTTTCAGCACAGATTTTAAATCGTGCTTGTAAAGTCAATGTTAAACAGAGACGTCATCCACACCGACTGAATCACTGCAATTACTCCTCAGGTAACAAAAACAGTTTATATCAATACATTTACAACGCAAATGCACGCACATACAAACACATATGCACTCACCAAGACTGTGACATTTTGAAGTACACATACTTTATATTTTCCCATTAATGAATTGCATAATATCTTTATCATTATAATGCCGGAGTTGAAATTACAACAGCTAAGTTGCTGATTTATATCATTGCACCATTTCGAGCATTTGGATATTGGAATTCTGGGTTCAAATTCCATTTTTAGAATTCATAGTGTTCTTTGTTTAAGCATAGGTCTTGCATTTTGCTGATTCCCCATCTAAGGTGTTCTACAAAATTATGACATTAATGCTAATATAAACGCTGTCTCTAAATATAGTTTCCGCTAGATAACATAAATTAATATGTGGTATCTGCACATTCTTTATGATCTTTCAGTCTTGTTTGTCTGTTGTATGTCCATTGAGTCAACTGTAGGGTCTTTCTAAACATCTGAGCTGCAGGTTCTGAGAGCCTTCATCTTTACTGTTATATTTAAATCTTTCGGCGTGTATCCTGTTCTGTGTCATATATATAACGGGACAGGCTACAAAACAATAATTCTGAAAGAGACAACTAAACACTTCTGTGTCAACGTTTCTTTATTAGCTTCAGCCCTTTTCTTGGGTCATTTTCTGGCGTACAAGAATATAGGTACTAGTTCTTGAATTGCGATTTTAATCGATATGAATTCATATTGTACTTATGAATTTATATGCTAACAAATATACTTTAATTTAAATGTACTACACATGTAGTATAAAACTTGCCGCTAAAATTTGACATTAAAAAGATCACAACTATCACTACCACAGTGGATCAACCAAACAACACATATGGATATGTAGCGGTGAGAAAGCCTTAAACAAAACTTATATGTTATAAATATCTTAATCCCTATTTTAATTCTAATTTTCATTTTCATTTTTACCTTCTTAATGTCAAATTTTAACGGCAAGCTTTAAACTGCATGTGAACTACATTTAAACTAAATTGTATTTGTTAGCATAAAAATTCATATAAAAACAATATGAATTCATATTGATTAAGAACGAATTTCAAGAGCTAATACCAGTATTCTTGTACGCCTAAAAATGACCTAAGAAAAGGGTCGAAACCTGTAACGTTACCACCAACAGCCAGTATAACAAATGTTGACACAATAGTGTCTACTTGTTGTTTCACAGTTGTGTAGACTGTCCCATTGACTATATCTTGCTTCTTTGTTTAAACTCTATCTATACTACTTTTAGGTTCTATATAAGAGCCTAACCTATTCTAGCTCAGCATAACCCAGCTTAACTTAGATTGACGCTTAGATTCTGTTAGAGGCTGAGTCGCCCCTGGGCCATAGTGCGGCTGGAAGGATTAGGTCAATTGAAAAATATAATGGCCTTATCGGGATTCGATCCCGCGACCTTCCGGCTTGTAGCATAGTGCCTCGACCAACTACGCTACCGCGTGCTGCATGTTACACATTTAAATGCTGTGAAATGTTTGTTGTGACTAAATCAGTATGCATACCGGGAAAGTCATCAGAAATCTCACATCTGTCGGTGCAAAACGCATGTTTCGGCCTTGAGGCCAAAAGCTGCAAACATAAGCTTTTTAGAAAGAGGTGCTGCATAAAGTTATTATCAAATCCTAAAATTACCGCATTTAAGCCCCTTTGTTGATAATATGATAATATCTCTTTTATTTTACATTTCGAGGTTTATCTTTTCCAGAATTGAAACTTTCGTAATTAAAGTATTTATATGTGCAGCCGGACGTGGTCTCTGACATAGACTGGGGGTGTTTGAGAACAGGGTGCTGAGGGTAATTTTTGGGCCGAAGAGAGAAAGGAAGTCGCAAGGGTTGGCGTAAACTGCATAATGAGGAGCTCCATTATTTGTACTCCTCACCAAGTAATTAGAATGATCAAGTTAAGGAGGATGAGATTAGCAGGACATGTAGCACGAATGGGAGAGGAGGAATTTATATAGGATATTGGTGGGAAAGCCAGAAGAAAAGAGACCAATAGGGAGACCAAGACGTAATTTATATCAATATTAAATAATAAAATAATAATATTGTAACGTGTTTACGTTACTGATCCCACTTCTGACACCAGTGTAACGTGTTTCGTTACTGAAGACGCCGTAGAGATGGTTAATTGGGTTTATTTAACAATCTACAAATAACGGCTATAATTAATGATCACAATATCACGGGTTTCCACACTTTACAAACCCTACAACAAATCTCTTAACACTGTCTTCACTTGTCTTCACGTACTACTAACGCGGGAGCT